AGCTCTTTGATTCTCTACCAAGATCGTAGAGGCTCTGATACCATGTGAGAAATATAGGAAAAGAATATTATTGAATTGTTGTTGTGTCTACATTATTACATTGAGACCCTATTTATAGACACTACAATACAATCCTTTACCAAGTAGGATACTACTTACTATTCCTGTTTCTATTCCTATTCAATTCTAAATAGGATTGTATAAACCTATTCCTATTCTAATAGGATTGTATAAACCTATTCATATTCTAACAAAACCAATTCCTATTCTTAGTTTACTTTTTGTTGGCCAAAATCATAAGTAAAAGAGAAACACTCAGTTTGACTTTTCAAGAATAACTCGTTAAGGTATTTTGTCACTAAAAAAATCCAATCTCCTCATTATAGCTAGGTATCTTATATCTGATAAATGCTTAGAAACATTTCTTGTTCATGATACTGATCCGTTTTCGTATTGTTGTATTTTTGTGGATGCAGATAATCTTATATGTGGAATTATATGTAAGTTCATCTGGCCTAGAAGTTTGTTATTCTTTTTGCTTTTCCTAGCAAACTGATATGAGTTGCTGTTTTAATATCCAAGTATCTCGTCCATCTTGATATTGCTTCATTTCTAACTTATGTAGTCATTCTATATGTTTATCCTTCACTTGTAGGCCTCTTGTGTTGATATCATAATCGTGGAGGGTGATAACTTGTCGGCTATATTTCCAAATGCACATTTAAGTCTGGGTGGGTTTGAGTTAGATGCTCGCCACCTTTTTGTTGTGTTAGCCACCCTGGCTGTTCTTCCTACCGTTTGGATGCGTGACCTCAGCGTCCTAAGTTATATTTCAGGTGAGTGATCAACATCATGGACTAGCAGATTCATCTCTGAACTGTAAAAAAATATAATCTGATAGCATTCTCGTGTGCCTCAATGCACCCATATGATACAATGGTTATAGGACAATTTATACAGTAATCCTACAAGAAAAAAATTCAGATATATGGGTATGTATATAGATTTCTTGTACTCATGAACAAGTTCACATGTTTTCTATTGAGGATTGAAGGAGAAATTTGTACTTCAATAATCCCACAGTTATATCATATCTGATGCAGATATCTACAAATTAATTTGGGCTATCCTTATGCAAGCTACATACATAAGAAGCCTTCCGGTAAACAGAATTCAATTTTTCTGATGTTTTGACATTCATTTTGTAATTTTCAGTTGGAGGAGTTATTGCTTCCGTATTGGTTGTCCTTTGCTTGTACTGGGCTGGCTTGGTGGATCATGTAGGCTTTGAAAGCAAAGGGACTGTACTTAATCTACCAACTCTTCCTGTTGCTATTGGACTTTATGGATTTTGTTTCGGTGGGCATGCTGTCTTTCCTAATATATATACATCCCTAGCGGATCGTAGTCAATTTCCTGCAGTCCTCTTGACCAGGTATCATTCTGTAATATCATTCAATACCACATTATCAACGCCAACTTAACCAGATTTCGCTGAAAATGATCCTGCTTTCCCTGAGTTTGTTTTGATAATCGTGTTTTTTCTTATTTTGTATGCAGTTTTGTTGTGGTAACTCTGTTGTATGGTGGAACAGCTGTGTTGGGATACCTGATGTTCGGGGACTCAACTGAATCCCAATTCACTCTAAATTTGCCTAAAGGATTAATAGCTTCCAAGGTTGCTGTGTGGACAACTGTAAGTAAAACTAACATTCTGATGGATTTCTTTACCACCATTTGAAGATGTAATTAACTTGTATATCCTTCTTTTGCAGGTTGTTAATCCTTTTACAAAATATGCTTTAACCCTGTCTCCTGTAGCAATGAGTTTAGAGGAATTGTTGCCACCAAAACACGCCAAATCTCACGTGTACCCAATCCTCATTAGAACTGCATTGACAATCTCCACATCACTAGTTGGTCTTGCTGTTCCCTTTTTTGGTGCTGTCACTCTCAGCAATTTGCATTTGCCTATTTCAGATGGTTTCATTTCCAACTATATCTGTGCTCCTTCTCTTACATTACTATTTATTCTTCAGGTTTAATGCTGGCATTAACTGGATCTTTACTTACAATGCTAGTCGTGAGTCCTATACCGCGTTCTCTTAAGTTTGTTTTCTATTTGCTAATGTATTTAATTGTCATCATATATCTGTACTAATGAAAGCTCTATTTCCAGACTCTAATACTACCTTGTGTTTGCTTTCTGAGAATCTTGAAGGGGAAAATAAGCCACCTTCAGGTATAGATAAGACAAGTTTCAGCACGCGTTCTCACATTACATGTTTATGTTATGCCTAAAACAGTTCTATTCACTTTCCTTTCTATGCGCGCAGGTTACAATATGTGTCCTTATTATCACAATAGGTACTGCATCTGCATTGATCGGTTCGTATTCAGCTCTCTCCAATATCATCCAGAGCATGGCCTAAATTTTGAGTATGGCACCAGATCATGTTTTTGAGCTTTAGAGTACATTAAGTTTCTAATCATAAAGACTTCACAAGTTTATAGACCATTTTCAATACATATGCAGTTCAATTGTCTTTTAGAGAAAAAATGCACTTCCATTTCACTAAATTTTCTCTTTTTCTTAGAAAGTTATATAGAGGGGAGTGGGACAAATACAAATTTCATTTCAATATCATTGTAGAAATGAATGTTAAACTCCGCATCGATTTTAATTAAATAGAAGAAAATAGTTTTTTTTGGATCTCTTATGGTAAAAGTGAAGTTGTATATGTAAAAGTAAAGATCTCTCATAAAAAAAAACATAAAACTAAAAATAACTTTGTGAAGACGATAAAATCGAATCTCCCGTAGAAATATATTTACAAACAGTACATATTATGTATGTATTCGTTTGATGTAAATATTAGGAATGAATATGCTTTTACCAAGCAAATTTATGTTGTGCATGACTAATAAGCAGTCAATCAAGTAATAAAGAGCGAGTATCATTTCCATATGAGAACTTACGATTAACTTTAAAAAATGATAATAGTTTGACCTTAATTAGAGATTCATAACTATGATTTGCTTAATTACAATTAATAGCTGCATAATAGAAGGAGCAGAGAGGCGAGCGAGATTTGAGGGAGAGAGAAAAAATGCACGCTGTATTTACAATACCAGATCATGAATATAATTGATACAATTGATTTGTATCAATGAATACAACTATATCAAATTGTATTAGAGAATACAATTGTATCAACGAATCCAATAGTATCAAGTGTATTTGTTCCTTGTATATTCGCTTCGTATCAAGTGGCTATATGTTTGTATCATTGTATTCAATTGTATTTTGTCCTTGTTAAATATTTGTATCATATATTATAAATTCTTTTAGAATACGATTGATACAGTATTGTATCTCTCCCTCGTTGAGGCATATTGAGAGTTGAGTATATGAAATCGAAGAGGAAGAAGAGAGGTCTCTACCATCTCTTACCTAATATAAATAATATCCCCATTTGTATCAAGCGAGGATGAGAAAGGGAGATAGGGGAGCGAGAAACCTAAGGGAGAGAGGGGAGTGAGAGAGGGAGAGGGGGAGAAGAGAGGCGGGCACGAGTTTGAGAAAGATGAGAGATTTGTTATAAAATCCTAAGTATAGCTATGTAATGTAAAAAAAATAAAATATTATAGATGTTATAGACTTATAGTAAATGCATAGCAAATATTTGTCTTTGTAATTTTTCCATTTTAAGAGATTTATCTAGTCAACAACATGTTTCCAGATTTTGGTAATTAATTCTAACAACTAAGTTATAGTTAAAGAGAAAGAGTAATTAATAACTAACACACTTAGCACGAAAGCTAAGATTTCAATGATTTTTCAAGTTTATGTTATTGTTTAACAATCCTATTGAATTCTGAAATTACATTAGCTAATCAATTTTTATCTAGATTACTAACCTATAAAAATGATAATACTCATACAAATTTATTAATTTATACTTCGCTATTCATCTTGTCCTAAACCTACTTATGAGATTAGAGATAAAAATAATGTATTATTAATTTCTTGCACTATTCAGCTAAGCACTACGAATAGGTGTATGTCTATCCTTTATTCGCAAATTAATTCCCTATTGTTTTAGTTTAAGAGCACGCTCTATTCAATCAAATTACAATTCAGAATTGTTTTTTTTAGGGATAGGGCATAAGTAGCTCCTAGACTATGATCGAAATCTCAAAGACACACCTAAACTTAACTAAGATCCTATTACACCCTTGAACTCATTTTTTTCATATTTTTATGCACCTTTTGTGCTGATGTGGCACATTCAACCACCCAAGTTGGTTGTGTTTGTACACACTCACCCGCCATGTGTGTAATTTTTTTTTATTAAAAATTATTTTTTAAAGAAAATAAAAAAATTAAATTTCGATTTTTAAAAAAAAGGGAAAATACATAAAAAAAATAAACCTTGAACTTGGCACGAAAACTTACTTTAGTACTTAAACTTTACGGGTAATTATTTACCCCCCTTAACATATTTGAAGTGAATTAACATCACCCTAAAAATATAATACCAGTCTAAAGTTGGCAAGTGTATTACACACACGCCACATCATTGACACATTAGAACCACAGAAGCGCCACATCATAGCCACATTGGAAATTCTCTAAAATTTGATTTTTGATTTTTTAAATTCATTTCTTTCTTTCCATTTCAGAATATTTAAATACTAGTTAATCTTTAGTTCTTAATTAGTTTAAGAAATATTGAAATCATTAGCAGTGATTTTTTTTCAATACTCAACGTCATTTACTGCCATGTTGATTGTCGGTGTTCTTCATTTTTATTTTTTTTATATACTAATCAAGGTCTAATTCTTAACTAATTCAAGAAAAAACACATTTATTTGTAGTGATTTGTTTTTTAAAAAAACTTTCTCTACCCATTGCTTCAATCGCCATTGCCAACCATTAACATTATAGATCGGTTAACAAAACCTCATCTTCTTTTATGCCAAAGTCTTTATTTTTCAAAAAACTTCATAACTTTTTAAGAAAGATCAAATCTCCAAAGTAAAGAGTAAAAAAATTATGTGGGTCTTGAATGTGATTCTTTTTGTTTATGTGTTTAACGAGAAAATGTACTATGAATGTAGAATTTGAAGAAGGAGAAAGAGGATGGGGTAGAGTGGGGATAGGGTGGTGGGGAGTTTGAGGAAGAAAAGACAAGCAGGTAGAGGGGGTAGGTGGGGTTTTGAGAAAGCGGGGTGGGTGGTTTGAAGAAGAAGAAGAATGGGGTGGGTGGGTTTCTTTTTTTTCCCATTATATATATAAAGTGGGACCATTACTTTTTTAGAAAATAACTTAACGCACTTTCAAAAAAAATTCTTTTCTTTTTTTGCCACGTCATCCGTTAGGATGGTATTAAATTCACGCGAAATGAGATAAGGGGGATAAAGAATTACCCGTAAAGTTTAAGTACTAAAGTAAGTTTTCGTGCCAAGTTCAGGGGGGTTTTTATGTATTTTCCCTTTTTAAAAAAATATTCTTATTTTTTTATCTTGTATTTAAATTAAGTTAATACACATTTTTTACCTTGTATCAAAACTTTTTTTTACTTACATTCATTGTTTTTTCTCTTTTATTTTTCTATTGAGTTTATTTTCTTTGTCTTTCGTTTTGATTTGATTTCAAATATCTTGTATTTAAAATAAGTTAATTTTGAACGTGTCACGTCCCTAGCCTACACCCTGGACGTGGCCGGCACTCGAAAACTATTATTGGCCCCAAGCGAACCCTTAGCCTAGCTTACTTACTCAGCGGAAGACTTTAAGCATTAAGAAAAGGATTCATATGCTAAACAACTCAACTGTCTCAAACTGAACTCATAATTTTTAAATATAAACATTTAACTTAGCCAAAATGGAAACTCAAATCTGAACATAAGCCAATAACAAAATGATGACGAATGAACTAACATCTGACTGGCTATCTATGAAGCCTCTAAAACAACTGAGATGGATGTCGGGGCAGGCCCACGACATCCTAATGAATTGAAATGATAAAGTAATGAAAAGGGGGATCCTCCGGAATGCAAAGAGGCTCACCAACAACTTTGAAGCTTAACTGGATCAACGATGCGCTAGATGCTGATCCTGGTTACCTGCGTCTACATCATAATAAGATGCAGGCCAACTGGCATCAGCACATTGAATGTACGAGTATGCAAGTTGGAATGCTAAACGCAACATAGGCTTGAAAGGAATCTGAAGGGAACTGAAGAACTTACCTGGTTCAACTCAACTCAACTAACTGAACTCATTTTAATATAAAGCAGTTTAAAAACAAGTGCAATATAAGGAAAAGTTGTATAAAACATGATGTCAACTATGTGTACTTAGAAATACAATAATAACTTTGTATGTATGCAAAGATACAATATGAACTCTGTTTGTATATAAAATACAAAATACTGTTGTGGGAGTTTCTCTAACTAACAACCATCACTTAAGAGCAATAGTGATGATATAACGTTTTACCTCACGCGGCCAAGAACCGTCCTATACCTTGCCGGGGGTATAGAATCTAACTCACTAAGTGGATCCACTAGTCTATGCTAAAAAGCACTAAAGGAATCATCTAAAAAGTATAACTCTTTTCTATCCATGGTAGCTACATGATTTATGGGGGCTGTGAGTTGTCTGAACTCTCCCCCATATCGGTGCTCAATACGACTCCCAAAATATGATACTAGCTCTTATGTTTAACAAAAAAAACAAACTTCTTTCTGTGATTTGAGATAATTGCTCAAAAACTTAGCTCAAAGGCTATCTTGGAAATCAAAGTTTCCTTTCTTGCTTTATTGTGAAAGCATTTACTCTCTTCTGAAAACTAGCCCTGTCATGCCCCAAACTATCCCCGAGACGCAGACACGGGACCTAGGACCACAAGTAATCCCAAGCTAACCCTGTTGGCATGATCACGAGCATACTAAAGATAATAAACTGACGCGGAAGCTAAATCATAAATAAATTGAAAAGATGGAGAATACCCATATACTATAACTGAGATAAATGAAAACTGATGAGTTTAATACAAAAAAAGATATTAACTCAATACTAAGTTGAATCTAACTATGTCTGAATATAGCCTCTAATTGACTAGAAATGCTGGGACATGCCCCAGCTAAGTCTAGCAAAACTGAAACTAAAGGACTAAAAATACTGAAAAGAAACTCATGACTATTGTCTTCGGAGAATGAGGACTCACCATTGATTTCTGCTGAACTGGAGATCGAGAACCGATCTAAGTGTGATATGAATGCTGAGAACCTGAACCTACACCACGAGAAGATGTAGCGCAAAGTATGCGTCAGTACTTGAAAGGTACTGAGCATGCAAGATAGA